TAGTAATTTTTTTAAAGATTTTATTTATTTATTCATGACAGACACAGAGAGAAGGCAGAGACATAGGCAGAGGGAAAAGCAGGCTCCTCACAGGGAGCCCAATGTGGGAACTGATCCCAAAACTGCGGGATCATGCCCTGAGCCAAAGGCTGATGCTCAACCGCTAAGCCACCCAGGTGTCCCATCTTTTCTTTTTTTTTTTTTTGAACTATAATTATACATATAGAAAAGTGCACAAATCCTAAGCAAGCAGCCTGATAAGTAGTCAAGTGAATGTACCTATGAAACCAGCACCTCAATCACAAAACGGAACATTAGCACCACAGCAGCTGCCTTGTACTAATTCATCAGACTCTTTTTTCCCCTCTGTGTCTTTTTTGTACAACTACTTGATGTGTAGCTTTTCTGATTTGATTCCTTGAAAGATCTCATTTTCTCATGTTCTCCATTATTTAATTTGCCAACTCTCAATCTGTGGTTTGATTTCAGGTACCTTGGTTTTCATGCTACCCTTTCTATATACTGATGGAGCCAGTTAGCTCTCAGTTGATTTCTGTGAGTAAAAAGGAACATAAGACCCAGATGACTCCAAACTAATTTGCTTGACTCTGGAACTTAAGATGATTTTGACCAGATTTGCATTCCCACTTGGGTTCTATTTCAGCTGCTATTATCATCCGTTAACATTCCTTCAGCATGTACCAGCTGGCTTATGGAATGAACAGGCAGGCCTCAGGGAGCCCGGAGAGGATGGAAAAATGGGTGGAGACGATCCTACACACATGAATCCTTGAAAACTGATGTTAGTGGGTTCCTGTGCCCAGAAAACAGTCTGCATAGTGAGCTGGCTTTTTTGGACTTCTTGTTTGCACTCAACTGTATATTCTAATATAATAAATTGGTTTTACAAAGACACCTAGGAGATGTTTAGGAATCCAAGTTTAAAAACTACTCAGAACCAAATTTGTGTCTGGAATAATTATTTACTTGCCTATGTTCTCCCTGTACTTGGAGTTTCCATGGATGTTCTCCTGCTGTTTGCTTTTCCTGTGTTTGAATGCAGCTTACGCTTGCTTCGTTTCAGCAGCTCCATAAATAAGGAGGTTTTGAAACATCCTGAGGTTGATGTTTTATAATCTTTGATGACTTACACCTCTGGGACAATGTGCAGTAGAAGCTGGTTTTGCTCTTTCCTTACCCAGGAGTCAGTAGTCAGACTTACAGGAATAACGATATAGGCCACAGTAAAGATCCCTAAAGACTACCTGGTTTTCTAGTCTTCTCCCCTGAATTTTGAAGGTGGTGGTGTTACTTCAAGGCAGGATGTGCAATTGCTAGGAATTGTTCTTTTCCTACTTGGAAGTAATGACCTGCAGACCGAGCTACCTCGAGCAGGAGAATTTGGGGTAGGAGGCAGCAAATGCTCTACATTCTCAGGATGAAATAGTACGCGGTCCTGCCTTTCTCCGTGGGTGCTGCAGCTGCTGAGCACGTGGGTGCTCCATTAGGCCTCCCTCCTCCCCTCTATCTTATATTTTGCCTTTTATGATAAAGGGAAAACGATTCCTCTGGACTTGTGCAAATGTTTGTGAAGATAGGTGGTAGAACCGGAAGACCAGAGGATATGTAGCCTTAAACATGCGCAGGGGTCCTTTTGTTTGTCTGTCTCTTCCCTCCTCCCTGTCTCCTCTCCTCCTTCCCTATTCCCTGTCCCCCTCCCCTACTCCCTGACCTCCTCCCCTGCCCCCTCCCCCTCCCCTGTTCCTGTCCCCCTCCCTGCTCCCCTCCCCTACCCCCTTACCCCCCCCCCCGCCCCCTCACCTCCTGTCCCACTCCCCTAATTCCTGCCCCCCTCCCCTACTTCCTTTCCTCCTCCCCTGCCCCCTCTCTCCGTCCCTGGACCCCTGTCCCCTACTCTTCTTCCAGGATCACTAGCAGTGCTGTCTTGGGCGAGCTAGGCAGTGTACCACTTCACTTTCCTCATCTGTGAACTAGTTGCCATAACTATGTTGTCGTGTTCCTGTACCACCACGCTTTGCCAAAGGTAAAGCTCCACAACAACGTTAGCTGGTGTTAAACCAATTACAGATACCAATGTAACTGTGGTCAACCCCAGCCCCTGGCAGTGGGGTCCTGCCTCCCACACTTAACTGGGGACTGAGTGTATCTGCCATCTGAAGCCACAAGTGAATTCCTTCTACCTCAGCAGCCTTTCTCATACCTGTACCTTCTTTTCTCTTTGATTGTGGCTGTAAGTCAGATCTCTGAAATTGTTGCAGATGAAGTTAATGACAGCACTGGAGATGGTTTTACATGAAACCAGAACTATATAAAAGTCAATGTCAGACTCTTGAAGGTGCCTAGAATATGGGCTCGGAATCTCTGCAAGGTTCTTTGGACTGAGTATTGTACGTCTGCAGAAGTACAGCATTTCAACAATATTATGACACAAATAGGGTTTTGTGGGCTGGTCCAGGAGAGCTAGGTAAACATTTTAATATGGGTCTAATGGGAAAATGCATTCTAGTTTATTTTGACTTGATATACAGTTGTTCATAATTGGAGAACTGCCCAAACAAGCTTTTTCCCTGAAGATTTTTAACTTTCTGTTGTCAAGAGGAGAGATCTAATTATGGGTGGGTCTAATAAGTATGATGGATAACCTGTTTGTATTTAGATACTACCGCACTTAACTAATGGGAAAGAGGGGGAGGTGTATTTGGAATATTTTTACCCTTTGATTTTTTTAACTTACATCTGTGAGAGTGAAAAAGATCTTTGGAGCTCGATAGGATACATTTTTCATGAAATACTAGATGAGACAAAGCCCTCAGATCACATCCAAACAGATGTATTACTATTATTATTGTAAAGAGATGGGAGAAAGAATGTGTAGGAGTGAAGGGCAGGCTGCCCCAAGATGGGCCACTTTGCATAAAGATTGAGTTAATCAAACCGGTGCAGGAAAAGCTCTCTGCCTTCCCCTCAACTGCCTGAATTTACTTTGGAAAGGAGAGCCAGTACCAGGAAGAGAGTCATTCAGAGACTCCCCTTTACTTAGGTAACTGGTTTGCATCATAGGGAAACTGTTTTTCCAGACATCACCTCTCAGCTATCTACTAATGGTCTCCTTCCCCTCTATATCCTCAGGCCCTCCTCAGCTCTTAGAAGCCTCACATGGCCTCACTGTCTTTGAAATTTCTTCTCTGCCTGGATTCCCCTTATGAATGCTACTGGATTTGATTTTCTCCTGTTAATTGGTCTTAAGTCAGTGTGGTTCCCAGGCCAGCGAGAGGGAACATAGGGTAAAGGAGGGTCTTCTTCCCTCCCTGACAGATGATAAGTAGTAAGTAGATGCACTCACCTATTCCTGATGCCAGAAGGCTGGACTGTGAAATACAGTCTGCCTGAACAAGTCCAGAGGGTAAGAGGGCACATAAGTTTGTCACTGGTTCTTTGCTGACCTGGTCAATTGTGCTCTCCGGGATGGAGCACAAAGGGTCAAGCTGCTGAGTCAGCTGAAAAGACTTTTTTTTTTTTTTTTGAAAATGAGAGTTTATTAAAAAATATGTAAATGATACAAAAATAGCCAGATACATTTGTTGAAGATCAAGAGGATGGTGAAATAGTTTGACAGCATATTAATAGAAATATGGAGGTGAGTACCAAGAGAAACAGATTTTTTTTATAAGTCTTTAAATATTTGCTGTTTTAAGCTATGTGCTTTAATAAAATAATCATTATAAAATAGTCATAGAATGTTAACATCATTTGAGGATTATGTAAATTGTATCTAGAGTAGTGCTATAATAACATGATTAAATGTTTTTATATAGAATCAATGTATAATTACCAGTTTCAAAATTTTGTGATTAGATATATAATTGTGTCTTTGGACTATATTTGTTTCCAACTTTATACCTCTCTTTTCTTTACTACTTATATGTCATAAATAATATTAAAATCAGGACAGGAATGGTCATCTTCCTATTTTACTACCCATAGCACCTTGCACAGTATCTTAGACATAGTAAAATCTCAGAATATGATTGATAACGTACATTTTCTGGGTTTTTTTTTTTTCAATCTTAAAGTTGCACAAATAATACAGATTCACTCTAGAAAAAATAGAAAATGCAGAAAAGCAAAAGAAAAGAAAAAAAAAACAACCTTTTTAATTACCCAGAAACACATCTTACTATCTTGATACTACCCCTCCAAATGTTTTCCTATGTAATACATACATGCAAATAAATTTGAAATAAAAATTATCCAGGGGCACCTGTGTGGCTCAGTTGGTTAGCATCCACCTTCAGCTCGGGTCATAATCTCAGGGTCCTGGAATTGAGCCCCACATTGGGGCTCTGCTTCACCTTCTCCTTCTGCCCTCCCTTGCCTTGTGCTCTCTGTCTCAAATAAGTAAAATCTTTTTTAAAAAAAATTATCCAATTCACACTGTACCCATGTCCTTAAGACAAGGTGGAATTCTTAGGTCAGCAGGTATGTATTATTTTGAAGGCTCTTTATCATGTTGCCAGATTGCCCTCCAGAAATGTTATATCAGCTTCAGTCCCCATTAGTAGAGCAAAGAGTATTCATTTCTCTCTCACTAAGTAGTGGGCAGAAACATATTTATCCTTGTTGGGTTCATTATTATTTCTTAGAATAATAACGTGTTTGACCATCTATAATTTTCAGTGTTTTTCCCCTTCATATAAAAAGTTTCTTTTTAATGTTATTTAAATAACATTTAAATGCTTTTTAAAAACTGTTTTAAAAACATTTTCAAATGTTTTTTAACATTCAAAATGTTAAATTTTAACATTTTAACATGTTTTTAACAATTTAACATGTTTTTTAAATTTTAAAAATTTCTCCCCAATTTTGAAATTTTATGCTTCAAAAGCTGTTCATTCTGCAAGATCATATATGCAGAATGAACTGATTTTTCAGAATTTAAAGGAGTGACTCCCTCTCAAATCTCTTTTTCTCCCCATCAGGAAGGCAATTGAAGAACTGCTTAAGGAGGCAAAACGTGGGAAAACAAGAGCAGAAACAATGGGACCGATGGGTTGGTAAGTGCTTCCTTAAGTAGAGCACTCTTCCTTCAAAAAACAGTATAGAGGAAGTCTTGGCTGGAGAAGTGGATATGGAAATCTTTAGCAGACTAGGAAAGGTAAAGGAAAGGGAAAACCGTGGCTGTGGAGGAAATCACCCAGAGGCTGAGAGTGTGAGAGTGGGAGCCCTGCTGAGCACCGCTCTAGGGAGCTCTGAGCCTTCGAAGAAGGCAGAGGGTGTGGATGGAGAGGAGCCATTAAGGCATCATCATCCCTTAAGTTCACAGATCCCAGGAGATAATGTAGATGTGACTCCCGAAGGTACCACCTGAGAGGAATATTGTAGCAGTGTCCATTGTTTCAGCATCTGTTTTAATTATAGTCTTAGTAAATTGAAATTTCTTTTTAAAATTCTACTTGGAAGTATTTTGATCCTGTGACAGCCGTGTACAACTAAAGTTTGCCTTAGCAGTTTCTACATATGAAGCAGTGCTTTAAAACTTAAAGTTTCGAAACAAAGGAAGAATTTAACCTTAAGAATTTAATCTTAAGCATTATTAAGCTTTACTTTAGCAATAACACACGCATTCAATAAATATGCTGACTTTAGATCTTTAATCTAGAATTTAGAATCCACTACAATGGAGGGTTGTGGATGATTAAGAGCAAAATGTAAAAGTGAGATAGGAGTGGAAACTAGGTTTCAGAGTATACCTCATTCTATAGCTTTGACTCTTAGAACCATGTAAACCATCGTTTACATAAAATACAAAACAAAATTAAATAAATAGAAGGAATAGGCAATCCTTAAAAATCAAGCAAAATAAAACAAATAGATCTAAAAAGCCTTTTAGTGGACAGTTTAGCAGCACATAAAGGAACTCCTTCATGTGATCTGAAATTTGACACTCTTTCCAAAAAACTCCCAGAAGTATTAAATTGTTTGCAGTCATCATCTTAAATTGTTTGCAGTCATCATAACTGTCAATAATACTAATGTTGTTTTTCTAAAAAAAAAAAATAAAATAATAATAATAATAATGTTGTTTTTCTGAAAATATTATATAACAGGATAAAGCAAAGTAAATATTTATTTGCTATAAACACCCAGATTTCCAGTGTCCAAGAGATACAGATATAAAATCAAAGTAAAAACCTATAATCCTAAATTGGAATTGGAAATAACAATACAAAGCCATGCTAGATTTTCTCTGAAAGAAAGAAAGAAAAGCTTTTTCCAGCTCTGTTCATAGAAAAGTGCTAGAAATGATGACCACCCACCCACTCAGTAGCAGTGAGTGCCCCTGGCATCCATATTGTGGTGTATAAATACCATTTCTCACTGAAAAAAGACCAAAAACCTTAGATAAATAACTGACTGCACATCCGAGATAGTGCCTGGAGATCACCAGACAGCAAATTAGTGGTCACAGTCCCCAAGACTGCCCTCACTCTTACACCAACTGCAAATTCAGGGAGTTCTCAAAAGTACCCTCAGCTTCCTTAAGTCACTGACAAATTCCTACAATTCACAGAAAACTATGATATGAACAGTTACACTTTATTATAGGAAAGGATACAGATTAAAATCAGCCACAATAAGAGGCATAAAGGGCATTGTCTGAGAGGGCTGTCTCTCTGAGACACGAAGTTTCTGCTGTCCTCTCCCCATGGAGTCAGGACCCATCACCTACCCAGCATCAGTATGTGATAATATGCGTGGCATATTGTCAACCAGGGAAGCTCATCCAGGCCTCCATATTCAAAGTTTTTTTTTTTTAAGAAGATTTTTATTTATTCATGAGAGACACAGAGAGAGAGAGAGGCAGGGACACAGGCAGAGGGAGAAGCAGGCTTCATGCAGGGAGCCTGACATGGGACTTGGTCCCAGGTCTCCAGGATCACAACCTGGACTGAAGGTGGTGCTAAACCGCTGAGCCACCCGGGCTGCCAGTATTCAAAGTTTTTATTGGGATTCCAGTACTTAAGGATGATTGATCCACTGGTCACATGGTTGATCTCAGTCTCCAGGTTGACCAAGACCACATGACCCAAAGCTTCCACCCTAAATCACATGTTTGGGGTTTTTGGTTTTGTTTGTTTTTAGCATGGGCAGCTCCCACTTTAAGACCATCAAGTGGGACCTGCCCCATCCTAAGATCTACCCTAAACAAAGACATTTCTGTCAGATATGGCATTACCTCCCAGAATTGAGATTACCTCCCAGAAGCCAGACCTCCCTGTGGGTTAGGCCATACTCTTACTACACAGACAGGAAATGTGTAAGAGGAGGAAGAAAGTGATGTCAGGAAGACTCAGGAAACTACTTGAAAGGTCTCCCACCGGATGGGATAATTTGATCCCCAAGAAGAATAAAGCTGTAATGATTGAGATACCTGAAACATGTTAAAATCCATAAAGTCATAAGGATACCACAAGAAGCTTAGTGGTCCCTTTTGGAGAATACTATGGAACCAAATCATTATTCATAAAATTGGCAAATAGTGAGGAACATTTATCCTGCTCCCTGTGCAAATTATACCTAAAGATTACCAAATAATTGATGAAAGAAAACTTCCTTGTAGAACTGCATCTGGTAAATGTACAAGGACTATAGAATAAGATCATCATTTGAATTCTTAACAATTCAATAAGAAAACAAAGAATCCAATTTAAAAATGGACAAAAGATTTGAACAAACACTTCACTGAAAATGATGTAGGATTGGCCAATCAGCATATGAAGAGATGCTGAAATCATTAGTTATCAGGGAAATACAAAATAAAACCAGAGTTAGTGGTGGCTCAACAGTTGAGGGTCTGCCTTTGGCTCAGAGCATGATTCTGGGATCCTGGATCGAGTCCTGCATCGGGCTCCCTGTGGGAAGCCTGCTTCTCCCTCTGCTTATGTGTCTGCCTCTTCTCTCTCTGTCTCATGAATAAATAAATCTTAAAAAAAAAACCCCAAAAACATAGTTACCACTATATATACACTAAAATATCTAATATTTAAAAAGACTGAGAGTACCAAATAACGATGAGGATATAGAACAATTTCAGTGTTCACACATTGTTGGCAGAAATGTAAAATTGTATAGTCATTTTAAAAAATAGTTGGCTGTTTCTTATAAATATACATTCACCAGAGAGAATTCTTCCATCCAATTACCAGAGAATTGAAAAGTAAGCCCACACAAAAATCTGTACAGTTATATGCATAGCACTTTTATACATTATAGCTCAAAACTGGAAACATCCCAAATGTCCGCTACCTGATGAATGGATAAACAAATTGTGGTTCTAGCCATACATGCAGGGCTCCTCAATAGTAGAGAGGAAAGAAGTACAGACACACTGCACAGAAGAATCTCAGGGGCACCCTGCTAAGTGAAAAGAAGCCAAACACAAAACCTTACACTAAGATTCCACTTATGTGGCATTCTAGAAAACACAGAACCATAGGGAGAGAAAGCAGATTATTGATTGCCAGGAAATGGGGACAGAAGGAAGGGATTTACTGCAGATGTTTGTGGGTGACAGAAAGAGTCTACATCATGATTAGTGTGGTGATTACATGACTTGGTACATTTATTTTACTTAAAAAGGATAAGTTTTATTCTATATGAATTATACCTCATAAAACCAATTTTAAAATAAAAAGAATGTCCTTATTTGCAATCCCTAAGGACACACGGGACCCAGGCAAAGGTCAGTGGCCACTAAACTGAGATAAGGAGTTGGTGGGGACCATTCTGAGACAGGTCAGGCTGACCACACCTGAACTCACTGACCCATCTTCATGCCGGGAAAAGTTGCAGTAGGTAGAGCAGACCACCATTTCTGAGACATCCTTGTCAAAAGATTGAACCCAGATCTGATCAGATCTCCAGTTAGAACTACAGGTTTGCTGGTAATACAGAGAGTAGAGGAACACCTTAACTGACACCATAGGGATAAAACCACAAAAATCCAGTATGTGGGGAATTCAACAGGACAAACAACCCAGTTTCTTTAACAAATGAATTGAAAAGAAGGAGGGGGTATCCTATGAATTAATAGATTTGAGACACATCAAATAAAATATATACTTTATTTGGATCTTTTCCAAACTAACTGTAGAAAGATGTTTATGAAACATTTGGGGTATTTGGTGATATTAAGGAATTAATGTTGCTTTTTTAGGTGTGATCATGGTTTTGCTGTTATTTCATTTTTTAAAGCTATTATCTTCCAGAAATTCATTCTGATGTATTTATGGATAGAGTGATACAAAATGAAATAATCCAGTGTGAGTCCATCTGTATGTAACATATGCAATCATCTTAGATTCAATAAAATACCCACCTCCTGGAAGGATACTTAAACAAATTAGGTGAGATAAGATGTATGCAAAACATTCGATGTGGTTCCTGGAATGGAGCAGTGGGTCAGAGTTAATTAGATCTGCTCTTATCTCCTTTCAGCCCTTCCCTGTCCTTTACCCAGATGAAGGTGCCTCTACCCATTTGAATCAAATTAGTACAAACTTGCTTAGGGGCAGGCCGCTTTGGTGTTCAGGGATCAGGTTGACCATAGCCACTGGTCAGCTACTACCGAATGTGAGAGAATCGGTGTAGAGCTAAATCATGAATGCAGATGGCTTGACAAGTGAATAAGAAAATGTCAGGGTCCTGCTATGTTAGGAGTGCTCAAGGAGATCAGTTGCATCTAGGCAGCTCTCCAGAGGGAGGTCATTTATCCTGATCTTTCTGCCGCTAACTGGCTTGGTCAGAACTTTCTGATAGTGGAAAAACTAGTTTATCAGTGTCAGCTCTGTTTCCCCTGCAGAGAGTTACCACATGCCCAGGTCATCCTGACATTCATGGGAGCGCTGATGTCCTCACTGGGCATCATCTAAGTAGTGTCAGCAGTTCCACCAAGTTGCCGACGACCCGGGTCTCTTCCAGTGTGCTGCATCTTGTGGCCATAGGGTGTGATTCTTTTCCACAAGGTCCAGTAGGGTGACAGCCATTCAATCCT